GGGGTGGGGGGCCCCGCGCGGCCCGGCGCCGCCCGCGTGCGGATGGATAGCTGGCACCGCGGAGCCCGGCGCCGCCCGCGTGCGGATGGATAGCTGGCACCGCTGAGCCCCGCGCCACTCGCGTGTGGATGGATGACATCAGTCCACCTAGCTCTGTGGTTCTCAGCTGGTGGCCCGTGGTGACTTTTTCGGTGGTCCACAGGAACATTGTCCAAAGTCACACGGTGTGACCCCCATAGAGAAATTTTGGGCCAGAGTGACCGGGAGTTACCCAGATCTGTCAGCACATGCTGTCTCAAAAAGGAGGTGGTCCATGAAAATGTTTTGATTGGCCTGGTGGTTCGTGGACTGGAACGAGTTGAGAACCACTGACTTCGCTGCTCCCTTTAGTTGTGACTCATACCAGGCTCTGCCCTTCTGTGAGTGGGTGGTACACAGTGTACCTAACACCAGCCTTAAGTCAATGACTCCCGCCAGCACTCCTGTTGCTGTGGCCAGGTGAGTGACTTGTGCCAGTGCACTCAGTGCTGCCCCATGCGTGTGACTTGCACCCCATCCGTCCACCACTGCTTAACAGGCTTCTGGTTCTAGGGCTTCTGCAGCAGTCAGTTTTAGCAGTGAACATCCTCTATTACAATTATTCTAATATAAGTGTTGCCAAGCCCTGCCATTAGAATTGCTTTTGTTCTCTGAGCTTATAGATACACTGAGGAAGGGGATAAGTTTTCCATCTGCCCCACTTCTCACTGTTCTGTTTCCTTCATCTTGTGAGTGGCTGATGGGACAGCTAAGAACCCCGAGTTTATTTCAGTGTCTGCAGCGTGAGGGCAAAATTGCTGATGCACATATGCTTTCTGGTTTCACAATATGTTTATTAGATGGGTTTGGCTGTGTCTTGGCTGGAGGGGAATTTGGAGTCCTGAATGTTGATTTGACATAACTTGTTATTTGCAGACTGATGCAACATCTCTGGAGTCAAAATCTATGAGATGTTTCACTTGAATCAGAGGTAGAAGAGCCAGCTGCAGCTAGCACCACATTAAAATCCGCACTAGTGGTCTCAGCGGTATGTCCTTTTTGTCCCTCTGCAGGAGTGTGTCTCTTTTCCCCCCTCCTGCTTAGGTTTTATTTTGTTCACAGTTACTCGGTATAGCATTTTTCTGACAAAGTGTGATCCTAATGCATGACAAAGCTAATTGACACAAGACAGTAGAAGAGCCAGCTGCAGCTAGCACCACATTAAAATCCGCACTAGTGGTCTCAGCGGTATGTCCTTTTTGTCCCTCTGCAGGAGTGTGTCTCTTTTCCCCCCTCCTGCTTAGGTTTTATTTTGTTCACAGTTACTCGGTATAGCATTTTTCTGACAAAGTGTGATCCTAATGCATGACAAAGCTAATTGACACAAGACAGCCAGAGCGCGTATATATATATATATATATATATATATATATATATAGTGGGGGAGAGAGCGG